AAAAAAAAAAAAAAAAAAAAACCAGAAAATTTCATGAAGTAGGAAGTCATGCATAGTAACACTCATGTGTCATCCCAGGTACTACTCCAAAGGCTGAGGCAGCAGGATGGCAAGGTGAAGGTCAGCCTGGGCAATTTAGCAAGACTGCCTCAAAATTGCAGACCACTTGCCTAGCATGCATGAGATCCTGGGTTCATTCCCTAGGATATGAGTTGGAGGGATGGAGGGACACAGGACCCCTAGTAGACTGGGAGTGTATAGCTCAATAGCAGAACATTTGCCTACCATGCAAGAGCTCCCAAGTTCAATCCCTGACCCCCTAAATTCTAAAAACTATGATCAAATCCAATTATAAAAAATATACCGATGCCTAGCCTGTGACTGGTTACCCTATATTTAGACAAATACATGATTGTCTTCAGTGGATTCCTTACATTAGCACTGCCATAAGTCCCATGTGTCTTTCACAATGCTTCTGATGCATGAAACCTGTGATTATATTAGATTGGATATACTTCAATTGACTATATAATTGAACCAAACCAAGATATTCAATCCACTGGAGTATGCAAAATATGACCCATATTTCAACATGCTTAAATTAATCTAATTTATCACTTGACACATGAAATTGTGAGATGAAAAAACTTAGAATCTTTAGCATACTATTTTGTTAATTTAAAGCATCTGGAGGGCTGGGGATTTAGCTCAGTGGTTTCGCCGCCTGCTACGCAAGCACAAGGACCCGAGTTCGATCCCCGGTACCAAAAAAAAAAAGAATAAAACATCTGGAAATTGAAGCCCATACTATGCTTTAAAAAAATAGGCTAGTTCACTCAACTTTCCCTCTATTATGTGGAATCTAGTCCTTTACATTTTAATATCACTGTTATATATTACAAAATCAAAAAATTTGCTTTTCTGACAATTCTATACCCAGTTGAAAAACTTTAATGATCCACTATGTACATAATTATAAAATATAAATAAAAGGCCTTACCTAAGGCAACGTGTGTTTAGAGGCTGAGTGCTCTTTAAGCCACTTAACAAGTACTCAATGTCATCAGTGAACTCTTGATTCTCACCAAATTCCACCACATCGTTGAAGTGCTTCACATGCTGAACAACAGTATATAACTGCCAAAAAAAGAATAAGGCCACCCCTTTTTAACTAGGAACTAGATTATATAAATGTCAGACTCATTGCACTTTATATTAAAGTACTGTATATACAATGGTTCTCTAGATGGAAACAAAAGTATCTATAAAACACTGGCAGTGGTAGGACAAGACAAATTTGTGGTTCATGGCTGTGGCTATCAGTGTACTGGTATCTGTTCATATCACATGGCTTCATCTTACATACAAAAATCTATCCACGTGCAGTAAAGCTGATTATGACTGCTTACTTCTTTGTCTTCTTTTCTGCATTTCAGTGCAGTAACTATATCTTGGTAGGGCTGAGTAGGTATTGTCACAGTTTTTATCACTTTGAGTGGTGGTGCAGGAGCCTTAAAAACTCCATCATCTTTTTGATTTGGTTCCTTTGAAGACAGCCTCACCTATTAATAAAGGTATTAAATTAGTTGTTCTAAATAAATATTTTAAAATAGTAACATCTAGTCTAGCTGGCTTGAACAAAGTAAATGACGTTTAAAAAGGGGGAAGGGGGTACAACAGAGGCCTCTGAAAGGTCCTAAGAGATACTTAAAATTCCGTGCACAGCTAGGTATATATATTTTACATGCAAAAGAACCACTCAGGAATTAGTTCTGTCTTTTTAAACCTTATATTTCATATAACTTGTCTCCAGGACCACTAAAAAAATAAAGAACCCCAATTGCATGCATAAATAGCACTGATAACCAGCTAGGGATGGAACAGTAAAAGAACAGACAGAGAATCTGAAAAGCACAGAAAGTTCAAGTAGTTTAGTGTAGAAACAGTTATAACAAGAGCCAGGCACGGTGGCACACGCCTGCAATCCCAGCATTTGGGAGGCTGAGGCAGGAGGACTGCTGCTTGTTCAAGGCCAGCCGGGGCTACATAGTGAGTTCAAAGCCAGTCTGGACTACCTAGCAAGACCCCATCTCAAAAAACAAAAGCAAAAACAAAAACAAAACAAATTGTTATAATAAAAACACAGTATATATCAGCATGGTATATGATTCCTAAGTACACATAAAAGTTTCATCCTATGAAAAGAAGTTTATGACGGTGCATGCTTCCAAATCTAGCATTCTAAGAGGCAGAGTCAGGAGGATCTTAAGTATGAGCCCAGTCTGGGTGATCTAGGAAACTGAAACCCTTTCTCAAAATAAAAAATAAAAAGAGCTGGGGATGTGGTTCAGTGTGAAGGCCCTGGATTCAATCACCAGCATGGGGGGAGGAGGGGGTGCAGGCTGAGGAGAGTTTAGTACAATCAATTTAAGAGGCAACTCTATACTGTGTTTTACAAACCTCTTTATTTCTGGGGCTGAGATGTGTGGCCCCGTGGTAGAGTACTTGCCTAGCATACAAAGGGCCCTGAGTTCAAAGCCCAACACCACATAAAAGGGAGGAGAGAGAGCACTAGCACCAGGTATGGAGGCACATGCTTATAATCCGAGCACCTGGGAGGCTGAGGCAGGAGGGATGAGAGTTAGAGGACAGCCTGGGCTACACAGAGTTCAGCGTCAGCCTGACTTATGTAAGGAAGTCTCAAAGGAGGGAGAGATGATCTCTAATCCCTATTTTTTAGGTTGTTATAAAGAACTCATTTCTCTGATAGCTCAAGATGACTGAGCCTCCACTGTTAACCTAGTAGTTCTAATGTAGGACAGTAGCAATCTTCTGAACAAAACAATTTGGTGAGAATTTTTTTAAACTGTGTTTTGGATTGGAACCGGGGATTTAGCTCAGTGGCACCATGCCTGCCTCGCAAGCACAAGGTCCTGAGTTTGATCCCTGGTGGGGGGCATGACACACAGGATGGGACAGGGAACGTGTTTTGGAGTGAAAAGTTATTACTGTGATCCAGGAAGAAGTTCTTCTCTGAAAAGCAAATTAAGCAATGAAAACTACTTTGAGATTTGTGCAAAATGAATTCACAATATAGTCCTTAATGGTCAATACATACTTCAAGTAAGAAATAATTTGCTCTTTAAATATTACACTATAAATTCTATACAATATACTGTTTTAAATAATATTTTAATTATAGTACTTTCATAAGGCTTTCATTTACAACCTAGCAGGAACAGGAAGTTCTGGTGTCCTGTCCACAATCCTCACTTTTCCAGTGAATTCAACAGAAGCTACCAAGCCTTAGGAAGGCCAAAATCTACTGTTAACTAACCAAGTCAAAGGCTCACAAATTATCCACGAGGACTGCTTAATTGGTTTAACTTATTAAAAAACACAAAACAAAAATGGCCAGCTCACTTACTGTGACATTCTGAGGTTTTACAACTGGTGGTCCAGGTAGTTCTTCTGAGTCTGGATGGTTCCAATGTCTAGCATTATACACGGCTTTTGTAGGTGACTAGAGAAATAAAAAATCACAAATAAGAACTTAAATGCACAGATGTACATCCTGGATAGCAGATCGGCACTGTCTGGGTCTATTCCCAACATGCTCCATTGCCTCTGGCAGACATGGTCACTGTGGTATTTGAGTACAAAATCAGCACTCAGTGTTGTGTGCAACACAAGGCAAGGAGGCACTTGAAAGTAAACCACCTGCCAGGTTTGTACTACTTAGTTATCAATGTATTTCATTCAACATGTTCTTTGGCAAAACTATATTGTTTGTACTATTCATTCATGCTCCACAGTCTCCTATTAATCAAAGGTTTTGTAATTTTATAAAGGAAAATGTGGTACATATAACTTACAAGACATGGCGGGGCCTAAAGGAGTGTCACATCGTAATATTCATAAATTCTACAGCAAGATGTAAGTATGTTCACACTAGATGGGATAAAGATGTAAATTGCCTCACATTAATTCAGGTTATCCCACTGCCAAATCAATTTATTTAAACTTATGAAAAAAATCAGTTTTAGCACTCTTAGTTTCATAATTGAGAATAAAAGTGAACCTGTAAAATTAAATCCAGAGGACAAAATCTGTACAAAAGTCCACAGGGATTTAGCTCAGTGGCACCATGCCTGCCTCACAAGCGTAAGGTGCTGCGTTCCATCCCAAGTACCAAAAAAGAGTCCAGGAATGAAATTCTCACTTTCAAGGAAACTGCTTAAACAAAAACTGACAACACAGATAAGTTAATACTTCATCTTCTCCATGCTCTACCAAAGTGATGTTAAATTACATCCTTTAAATTTCAAGATACTCTCTGATCTGATCAGTTAGTCTATGAAATGTAATCTTCATATTGTCACTACTATTCACAAAAAATGAGAGCAAGTGGGAAAAAATAACAAAACTGGCCCACAACCCACATTCCCACGATCCGCATCGGGGCTGCAGCACAGGGCTTCATTAGTAATCTAAACAATGCAGGGACTTGAGCAACTGATCAGGCTTCCTGAGGAGCTGCATGGCTTGGGCTCCACACTGGTAAAAGACTGAGCTGTCTGTTCCTCACTAGGTGCCTACTAGTTACCAGATCTTTGGTTGAGCACCTCTAGCACTTCAAGCCTAGGCCGTGATGACAGGCTTTGGTGAGAACAGGTATCTGAGACTGGGGAGCTAGCTCAGTGAAAACTGCATGCTGGCCTAGCATGTCCAACGCCTAGCATGTGTAACGCCTAGCATGTGCAATGGCCACCTGCTAACATCTAAAGAGTTTCGAAGTTCCAACACTGTACTACTTTTTAAAAAGTATTGACTCTTGGGCCAGGGATTTAGCTCAGTGGTTCTGCCGCCTGCCTTGCAAGTGCAAGGACCCGAGTTCAATCCCCAGCACAAAAAAAAAAAGTACTGACTCCAAGTAATAAAACAATCTTTTGGTTAATAAAAAGGTTGCCTAGTTTCTCACATAACAAATAACAGGGCAGCTATATAAATTAAAACACTAGAAGAGTGACCAAAATAGGTGGTACATTAAGTATTAAATACTAACGATAATTGCTATGTGATGCTGTGCTGTGCCCAACCAGCACCTTCCTAAGGGACTGGAATACTGGTGCCCCCACCTTCCAGGGCCTGGGGTCCACGTGGGTAAAACACTGACAACAAGAAGAACAGTATACTGGGACACACTGTTCTGGCTACCTCAAAAGCCCTTGCAGAGTAACTGAATAACTTATATTAAAAGATTTCATTAAATGAACGTTTTAGCCTGGTGTGGTGGCACATGCCAGCACTTAGAAAGGTGAGGCAGGAGGATCACCACGAGTTCAAGGCCAGCCTGGGGTACATAGTGAGTTCAAGGTCAGCCTGGACTACACAGCAAGACCCCAAACAGGACTAAATTTATAAGTTTTAAAGAATAACGTGTACTAAGTGAGGACAAAAATAGTAAAACCAAAAAAAGAACTTTTTTTTCATTTACTCTGTCCAACAAGCAGTAAGATTGGACCATTAATGCTAATGAGTAATCTAAAAGAAAGCCGATCTCATTACAACTTTTCCCTGACCTCTGAGGTCTCACAAGGTTATAGGGCCTACTAAAGGAGAGGGGAGCTGCTGAAGACACATTTACCAAAAAATTAAATAGTACCTGTGTGGCACACCAACTGCACACACTCACGGAAAGAGACTGGGGAAGAGGAAAAAAGAGAGGAGGAGAAAGGAAAGGAACACTAACTGAGCTGTCTTTACCTCATTCTAAAATAACACAAGAATTCCACATGCTCCTTAATGAACTGTGTATGTGAAGCACACAACATGGACCTGTCACAAGCTAATTTCTCTCAGCTAAGTCATGACACTGTATGGCATTGCTAAAAACACCATATAGCAATCGACTGTCCATGAAAAATCAATATCACTCATACTGTTTAGAATCAAGCTAAGCAGTAACTGGTTCATTTTGACTGCATCACAGGCTTGTCTTAATTCTCGTTAACTTTATTCGGGTTTAAAAAACAGATATACAGCATATTCCAGATTTCTTAACTTTTCTTTGTTAAAGAATTTGTGGATTCTGTTTGTGCTCCAAGCTGAGAAGAATACTTAGAACACAGCAGGAAGCTCCTACAAACACTGTAACATTCTAAAGATCTGGAACCATTATAACATATTCAGCATTAATTTGCAGTACTGGGGACTGAATACAGACCTTCACACTCAGCTATGTCCCCAACCCTTTTGTTGTTGTTGTTGTTATTATTATTATTATTATTTTTTTTTTTTTTGCAGTACTGGGAATCAAACTCAGGACCTTATAGTTGTAAGGCAGACACGATGGCACTGAGATAAATCCCAAGCCCTTGTTACTTTTTATTTTGAGGCAGGGTCATGCTAAGTTGCTCAGGTAGGCTCAAATTTTCACTCTTCTGACTCAGCCCCCAGAGTGCTGGGATTACAGACATGCACAACTGTGCCCAGCTAGTACTAGTAATATTAAATATCCTATATTCTTTCCTATTCAGGTCTTTAAAATTATGACAAACAAGATGAATTTCAAATAAATGGAGTAACACTCCATTAGAGCTAATGAAAAATAAGACCTACGGGGAGTATTTATCCATGAGAGATCTAGCTTCTATGAAAACAATGGGCAAAAATTGTTTTTTACAATCAATGTCAAGACTGTGATTAGCAGATTGGTTCACTGAATTACAATTATGAACCAGAAGAAAGAAGAGCTCCTTCCTGAAAAGCCACAAAGAAATGACAAGATTGTGTTATTCTCCACTGAGCTGGCTCTGAAAAAGGAAAAAACTGGCATAACTGTTTTTAAGTCATATGAATTTTCTCTGACAACAGGACCAAATGTATGCATTTTAAAGAATAACATGTACTAAGTGAGGACAAAAATAGTAACCTGATCCAGAATTCAGCCAGTCTTATCCACATGGAGATTTCAGGAAATCAGAATACACTACCACCAGTGATCCACAGGCACAAGGTCCAGATGATGAACTCCAAGAAGGACCCTGCTGCTAAGCACAGCAAGCTAGTGCAATGCAGTGGGTGAGGCACAAAATCTGGAATGGCCTTTTCCTTTGGAAACATCTTAAAGGACTTTTTTTTTTGGTACCAGTGATCAAACTCAGGACCTTACGCTTGCAAGGCAGGCAGCAGAACCGCTGAGCTAAGTCCTCGGCCCCTTGAAGGACTTTTATAAAAGATGGATGGTAAATGCAGAGCAAATTACAAAAGAGGAAGTTTAATAAAGATTATCTTTTAGCTCTTTAAAATTTTCTTTGAAGGATAATATCTCAAATTGCCCCAAACTAGAAAAGAAAAAAAAAGTATTAAACATTGAGTATTAAATTACTGACCAACTTTATGAGACACTGTCTCAAAATAACACAAAGAACTGGGGATATAGCTCAGTAACTGGGGATATAGCTCAGTATGAGGCCCTAGGTTCAATCCCTGGTACTACAAAGGAGGGTGGGATGTTATATACTTGAAATCAGATAATGAGAAAGCCTAAGTTTGCTAACCACAGATACATATACACATAAAAAAAGCTGTGAGGGGAGGGGTATGTGAAATAGCCTGATGTTGGTAACTGGTACACAATCTATGTTTCTATCAAAACTTATATTTTGTATAAATGAAATTTTTATCTATTATACCTCAATAAAACCAGGGGGAAAAAAGCAGGATTCATGAGTTTATACTGACAGAAGATTAATAAAAAGTGCAGGGTCAAGCTTACAATAGAACCTCTAGGGACTGGTGAGTGGAGAAGTGCAAGTGTTGGAACATTACCACTTTACAACCAAACTAGCATGCACTGGATGAGAAAAAGATCAACATTATACACATACCAAATGTAAGCACAGGTTCTAGTGAAGAACAAGGCATTGGAACAGTCTTAAGTCTCTCACAGATGGCTTTTGAGTTGCAAAGGAGAAAAAACTGATTACACAGTGGAGAAATGGGTAATACCTGACACCCCCACCTACAGTGCTCTAGAAAGGACACATCATCACCTACACTACACCAGTGCACTCAGTCAAGGCAAAGTATCAGAAAAGCCCAAGCAAGAGCCATTCTGGAAGAGGACAAAGACAGCATCAATTAAGACAGATGGGAGGCAGTGGAAAAGCTCTGAGTAAAAGGATTCTAATTTGTCTGTTTGTTTGTTTTTGGTACCAGGGATTAAACTCAGGTCCTTGCGCTTGCAATGCAAGCGGCAGAACCACTGAGCTAAATCCCTGGCCCAAGGATTCTAATTTGGAGAAGAGAGAATGAACTACATCTCATTCTATTTTATTCTCTACTGTTTAAAAACAGTTTTCTCATTTATTTTCAGCCTGGTTCTATCAAGTTTATTTTTGTATACCCTCTCAAATATATTTATATAGGATAGTATAAAAATAAACAAATGAATATAACCATATTTCTATCTGGTAAGGAATTTCAGGTCTAGTTAATTCAAAAGAAAGACTAGAAGAG